TCTTACTAACTGTACGAATAACTGCTTTATGATTCACATTTTTGTGAATATTATTATAGTGATCATAGTTATAATTATTATAACCTGATAATATTTTACCAGATCCAATTCAGTTAAATGCTGAAAAACACAGAAAATATCAAGTACTATTTTCTTCCATAGCTTGTTTTTTGTTTTTACATGTCTGAATGTTTTGGCCCTTTCTAGATTTCACAGTTGTTCAATATCAGTTTTAAAGCTAGAAAAATGTGTTGATCAGAAACATTTATACTTATCTGCAAAAATCAAGATACAAGATCAAATGTTTAAGTTATTTTAACAGTGCCAAAAATTAACTAGTTTCAGCTTCTAAAATGTAAATACATATATTGCAAATATTTTTTAAAATAACAATAAAATCCAAAAACGGAAACTCAATAAATACAAACCTTTTTTGGACTATTGGTCGGATAAATTAAGACTTTAAATATATTGCCTTTAACAATGAGCATTTTTAATTGTGGCATTTTTCAATGTTTTCTGTCATGTTAGGGACCAATGAGTAATTAATTTGTTGGGGAAATAATCAGCAGACTAAGCAACAATAAATGTTAAAGATGTGGGCTTGACATGATTATGTCATGGTGTGATGTTTTCATTTTTAAAAGATAAGTTGTTAAATTATGAAACTTACAAACCTACTATTACCAGCTGATGTTACACACAGACTTAATGAAGAAGCTCAGTGCTGAGTGAGACAGAAACCACTTTAACAGCATGTCTGAGGGGATGGATGGTGTGCTGATGGCAGTTAGTTTGTCTTCAGTAACCAGCACACCCACCGCACACTCCATCTATCATCGAACTGCGTCTCACACTCGCTTTCTCCTTTTGCTTCCCAGCTGTTCTGATGCAGAGAGTCCAGGCAGAGCTATCTCAGCAGGTTTCCTCTCTGCAGAGCGATGGGCGGGTGAGTCCAGTTTCACCCACTCGCATGTATGGAGTGTGTCCAGTATAAACTGCACCAGCTCTCTGTCCGACAGTGGAGAGAAACAAAGTCCCACACAAAGAAAGGTTGATGCAGTCTTTGAGAGCAGGTGGTGGAAGAGATTTTGTTTGGCTCAGCTGATCACAGATAGTTGTGACTGTTATTGAGAACAAAAAGGGAGAAACATTTGGTCACACAAGAGAACACTGTACGTGAAGGGAAAAACGTCTAGACTCTCACAGTCATAGATATAATTAGATTTCAGTTTAGTGTATTGGGCAAATAATCACACCAGCCAGTTAAAATGCAATGAGTGATAACTGACTTTCCACTTCTTAAAGAAAGTTAAAGACAGTCTCACATCAATATGTCCATATTTAGACACTTAGGGGAACTTGGATGTAATGATCATTTTCACACACATGGAATTGCACCAAAAATGGCATGTCAGAATCGGCCTAGGAACTGTCCATCAGTGCATCTTCATCCCTGTTAAAGTTGCTCTGTGTGTTTAGGTGGACGGCAGGGTGAGCTACGGTAACGACGCCCTGATGCCAGACCAGGCCTACAGCTCTGCCCCCATGGAGCCCGGCCTGGACGGACTGGGCTTCGTCCACCCTGAGAGCTTCAACCAGGTCAACACAGAAAACCACGGTAACACACACCTACTTTAGTATAGGCATAGCTTAAACTTGTTTGAATAACATAAAATGCAAATGTATATCAATTTGACTTTTTTCACGATATGGCCATATCATGAAATATGGATATGGCATGTAAGGTGCTTTTTTTTAATGTTCTTTATTAATTTTCCTGCAGTTGAGCCTGTTGATGCTCGTCCAATTCCAGATAGAGGACACCCTACACGACCTGGTGAGCGTGTGTTTGTGTGTATTTCGGACCATTTCTGAGTCCAGTATGACTGTGAGCACTTTAAACATGACTGGGCACTTTACAGTTTTTTATTTAAATGTACCTTGGGGTAGGGCTGCTCGATTATGGCAAAAATCATAATCTCGATTATTTGGGTCAATAATTGATATCACGATTATTAAAAACGATTATCCATTTACTTTGAAAACATCAATTTATTAGAGAATTTTTTTTTAACAGTATGTTTTTAACAGTTGATTACCCTGAAACCAAAAAAAACAAACTAAAAAAAATAGAAAAAACTAAATAAAGTAATAAAAAAATAATCGTTTTATTTCGATTACGTTGTTTTCGTAATCTTTGCAAGCCATACTCGTAATTGCGATTTAAAATACGTTTAATTGAGCAGCCCTACCTTGGGGTGATGTGGCTGCATGTTTGATACCAATCCTGATGTGAGGAAAGTAAAAATTTTCTGTTATGTCAGATCTTGTAGTCTTGTTAAAAACTATAATTATTTTAACGCTCAGTTTAAATCAACTAAATGAAGTAACGCTGAGTTTCAAATATCTTTTTAGCTTTTTTTTTAATACAGTATAAATATAATATAATGCAATATGTATTTAGTTATTACATTCCTTTATACATGTATGTGTTTTACTAACAAATATTTGCTGTGTATTTTTGTTTCAGTATCACCCCTGAAGCCAGAGGAGATGCCAAAAGTGCGGAAAGATACTGACGAGAGGCAAAGTGCTGGATATGAAGTCAACCCTCAGAAACTGGTATGAAAGAGCTGAAATACAACAATACGCACATAATGGTGTCTTTTATTTCTGGCCCTGCTCTTATTTCTGTTCTCTTTTTTCCAATTAATTGCAGGTGTTTTTCGCTGAGGATGTTGGATCCAATAAGGGGGCCATTATTGGACTTATGGTTGGAGGGGTTGTCATAGCAACCGTCATTGTCATCACCTTGGTGATGCTGAGAAAGAAACAGTATACTTCTATTCATCACGGTGTGATCGAGGTAAAGAAAGGGTGTTTTGAAAAGATGTGTGTGAGGAATGCAGCAGTTAGTTTGTACAATCGTGTTTTTTTTTGTGTGACACTGAACCCCTCTCTGTGTAGGTCGATGCAGCGGTGACTCCAGAGGAGCGTCACCTGGCCAAGATGCAGCAGAACGGCTACGAAAACCCCACCTACAAATTCTTTGAACAGATGCAGAACTAACAGCTCATCAACATTTCCCCCCTTGAAGTATCCCTAAAACTCACTTGTAGGGTCTGTTCCTTTCTGCCCCTTAGCCCCTACACCTTCAGTTTCTCACCACTACAGGCAAAGGAGAGGTGTGAAGAGTCCTGCAAAGGCTGATTTGTATCTTGCTTACAAGTTAAGAAATGATGAGGGAAGTATTTGTACCAGTTTATGTCTCAATCTGAAGTTTGGGCCGAAATAATTACATGGCACAATCCCTTCTTTATCCCTCAATTGTAAAGTGCCACACATTATATTTACCTGTAATTGATAAGACAAGGGTCCCTGTTTTACCTGCACATTTCTGCAAATCAGAACAAAGACATCAGTGTTTGTAGTGAAAAACCCTGTTGACGATTGACTCGCCACTGAGACCCGAAACATGTAAATCCAAGCTGTTTAAATCCCTGCCTCTCCCTCTCGCTCTGCACGGTTTGTTCCATTTTGCGATGGTAGCTGTGTTTGATGACATAACGGCTCTTAGAGCTGGCGGCGGGCGGAGCACGATTAAAGCCCAACTGTTTCAGGTTTGTTTTTCAAAAAAGAAGAAAAAAAAGAAAAAAAGACATAATCAAAAAATGTAAACGTTGAAGAATTTTGAATGTTTTTTTTTGTTTTCTTATTTTTTTTATGTGTAATATATTAAGACAGAGATTAGCTGTAAGTATATGTAGTGCATGGCAATATTGAAGACAGATGCAGTATATTATATGTTGAGGTCCTCTCACTAGATATTTTAGCAGGATTGTACATTTCTCGTGTCTTCTTTGTGATCTTGTGATATGAAGAAGAAAAAGAGTATTCAGAACCGGTCTGCTTTGTTGTCACAGACTTGCTTTAACTTTGGCTCGTTACACTCATCTCCATGCTTCACTGTTGTGTTAGCTGCATGGGCAGAATGCTCTATATGTAATATATACGAAGTGTTATAGTATGTATCCGAAAGGAAGACAATTTTGTTACTGTTTGCGTTCTATGCACTCTGTCATTTTAGAAGATCACCAAATATTATTCCTGTTAATTCCCTAATGCCAATTCACGCTGCTCATTGGGTTTTTAACAGGTTTAAATCGAATTTTCTAAATCTATCATTCCACTCTTGAGTTTATATATTTGGAGATCAGCTCTCAATGGCCCACTTTCATTATCAAGCTCCACCTCAAGTCTTTCCCCCTTGTTTAGTTGTTCTTCACTCTAACCCGGCTTTCCTGTTTATCCACTCTTTCTGGCTGTGTCAGCATTATTGTGAAGCACAGCACGTAGCTAAAAGACTTGTTGTTGGGCCAACAGATATGATGCGTTTCTCCTCTTCACACATTCCTTCACCAAATCTCTCATTCTATTTTTCTACATTTCCTGCGTAAACATGTACAGTGCTTCTGTTCGTCCTGTGGTGAATGTTTCTTTGCCTGCATATCTGTTGTTAACAATCATCACCATCAGTACTGGGAGTGGACCACATGTCACATCGGAATAGAGACACATTTCCCTCTCCCTTGATTAAGTTATTAATGCCACCTCCAGTAAACATGAATGTGACATGAATATTGTGCTTTTTATACCATAGAAATACAACACATATCGCCTCTACACATTATGTGATCAGACACACTTAGTGAAGCCCTTAATCAGATGAATGTTTAAACATTTGAATTGATGCTCACTCTGGGTGTCTTTGGAGAAATGTGTTTTTAAAAAAAATGATGCTTTTTCCCCCCCCCCCGTTATTGTGTAGTTAAATGGACCATTGCGTAGAGTAAGGAAAAAGCTTTCTACACTCACTATACCATGAATAAAATTTTGAATGTACATAAGTTGCTGGCTGTTTGTCATTTTAAGTTCCTTACTATGATTTATACAGAATATTTAATAAGTTCAGAGATGAAAAGACTGAATCACAGACATTAAGAAAAATGCTCGCCACTTTATTCCCTCTAGTGGACAAAAAAGGGTCCAACAATTTAGGGAACAAACACTAAATAAAATACAAAGCAGGTCCTCTATAAATGGAAAATATGAAAATACACTTGTCCTGGTGGCTATCAAAAACATGAAGTACCGGTATATACAGTGGAAATGATTCTAAACTACAGACAAGGGACTCATACACAAAGTCCATATCTCATTCACTCACTCAAGCATTCGGTCACATGCACGCAGCAAAACTCCATCACACAGACACCTGCCTCCTCATCCTGAACACATCTCTTGGTTAAAGGTAAAGAAAGGATAAAAAAATGTCATTTCATTTTTACCGCCTCAGACTCACTTCAAACTGTAAAGATAATGACAAAGTTGTTAATCCACAATGATCAGCCTTGCATTTTTGTGCCTGATAAACACAGTTGTATCAAAAAAAGAATAAAGTTGATTTGATTTCCAATCAGCGCTGGAGAGCAAACTTTGGCGGCAGGAGAGCGTTTTCACGTGTCCTGCTTCAACTGTCTTTGTCTAGTGCGGTGGTGGCCAGCGTCACCGTGGTGATGGGCTGACCGATGCCGTGCATCTGCATGCGGGCCAATTTTTTCTGTTCACACTCGGTCACCAGGTTGTTGAGGTCAGCAGCACTGTAGCCAATCAGAGTTCTCAGGTCGCACACAAACTTGTAGACGAAGCGCTTGCCCTGCACCTTGCTGATCATGTCCCCGTCGTAGTAATACCTGAGAGAGAGAATGAGCGTTAGAAAACTGCCTGAAAGGAGCCCAAATAAAATCCTGCAACTTAAGTATTTTACCACATGGAATTAAATTATTTCTTGTTATCTAATATCACCATATTTGTTTTGGAGCAATCCACCATGACAGATTTTATACATTAATGATGTACTTCTCAGTTGTATATTTTCTGTGTTTGGCTGCATCTAAATTAAACTTGTGAGCCTGTGGTTACGACGTGTGAAGTGAGAGATGAGAAAACCGCAGCTAGGCAATGGCAATATCGACTGATTAGTGTCGTTATCGGTGCCATCTAATATCTTACGAGGCTTACAATTCAGCTGTGGATAAAGTGATGCAGGAAATAGAAAGGCATAATGGTAGAGGAAGATAAGGCCATTAGGATTACCAACATTTTTCTCAGCCATTAAATTACCAAGAGAAACATTACAGTTACAAGTACAATATAACGACCACAAAGATAACTATATTGTCTTTTCTGATGTAAGCAAACACATCACAATTGTTAACTGTAAGCATTTTGAAAAGTGTAAATAACACAGAACTGCTGTAGGCCATGTCCACTTGTGGTAAACACAAAAGACAGAGTGCATCAAGCACAGGTGTTTAAAGAAAATATGCTTTTTGAGTTGCATTGTGGGAATTGAAGAATTACTACTAGGACCAAAGTCAGAACGTGCTGGACTCATTTTGACCAAAAGCTCTCCAACGTTATGGGAGTACAATACTAAACCAACCTGAGGGCTCTGCTGAGTTTCTCGTAGTTCATAGTAGGCTTGTTCTTGCGCTGGCCCCATTTCTGAGCCACCAGCTCCGGCTGGTTGAGTTTGAACTCGCCCTCTTCGCCCACCCAGGAGATGCAGTCTCTTGCATCCTTGTCTGTCAGCAGCTCTAACAGGAACTGCCACAACTGGATCTGACCGTTGTTGCCTGGCACCAAAGAAACAGAGCATTCAGTGTAAAATACCAGTCACAAAAATCACATGAAATAATAGATTATTCTGCCAATTTATGTAAAGTTCCACATCTGTATAGACCTGGCCAACAATACCGACAGATTGACAGCTTTGTAAAAATACAGTATATGGTATAACTCTGGTAAACAAACCCTCCTCTCAGTCTTTTTAGTACTTTAAGGTTGTGTGTCTAAAAAAAGTATGTAACCTGCTTAGATTTAAATGACACATCAACATCATGAGTTATGAATTACCTGTGCGGTTGCCCGGTGAGCTTCGCTCCTCTCCTCCTGAAATACGCGGTGTTCTGGGGCCACGGCTCTGCTTCATCACCTTTATGGTAGTGGGTGTGCTTAATTGTGTTGGGATTATCTGTACGGCTGAAGACACAGACGGAAAGTTGATGATAACCAGAATATTAATGTTCAGGAAAAACTGCTAGTGTCCATTACAATGTAAGTAGAGCTTTTCCTTCTGCAAGAAAGAGATCATTCCTCCCCTAATGTGCTAGCTTTGTTAGTTTTTTCAATCACACTTTCAATAAACCACTTACGCTGATCAATGGTGACAGTAGCGTCCCCACCCGACTGGTCCTGACTTGCCAACACATCTGAAATAAATACAAGGCATTAGTACTGACACATTTATTAGGCTATGATTTCTGTCCCAGGTATAAACAAGGTGGGACTTGTACTTCCATTACATCTGGTGACCCCTTAAAACACAAACTTTACGCTACAAAAACATGTAATAACTATTTAACTTACATTTGCGCAGCAGCTCCAGGTGACTCCAGAGTATCTCTCCGTTGGGAACTTTCTGAAGGAACTCTTCCTGGCTGAAGAAGCAGAGATCTCGACCTGGAATGTGAATGCTTCCAATTTCCATCTCATCGATGTTGAACTCCTTCATTACCCACACTGCCCAGTGGATCACCTGGTCAGCAGACCAGAGCACAGGATCTGGGGAAGGAGAGGAGGAAACATCAAACACCATGTTCACCACGTTAAATATGTTTCTTCCCACAATAAAGCGTCTTATTTAAGTGATTCTCACCATATGGTATGCCCAGGCGAACCTGCTCTTTTCGGTATCCTTCCAGTGCTGCAGCCCAGCGTGTAACCTGCTCCGAGGTCTCATCAGAGAGGCCAGATCGCTCCACAGCAATGAGTTGACCCTCCTCTACCATCGTTCCATCCTCTCCCGCATCTGGGTCAATAACCACTTCTACTGTTTCTACCGGCTTCACAATTTCCAAAATGTTCAACTTCTCCTCTCCTGGACAAGGGAAATAAAACAAATAGGTGAGTTGGGTTTGGTGTATCCAAAGTTTGGATATCAAAAGTAATTCAAAGCTTTATATTATCTGATATTTAAAGCATCATCCGAGTACCTGGTTTGGTTATTATCTGCAGGCTGAGCTGCACGGTGCCATCGGTTTTTACACCCTGGTCAAAGAGGCTGTGGTCAGGGTGAAGCTAAAAGGAAGAACACAACAGATAAGCTTTAAAAAAAGAAGCAACACTTAGCAGTTCAAAGGACTACTATAAGATCAATATTACATGACTATTGTGTTAGCAGCAAAAACGTTATCGAATCATAGAGAGATCTTAATATGTTGTATTTATCTAAATTCTTACCTGAATGTCCTGCAAGCAGATCTCATACGGATCCAGTGATATCTGGATGCGGGGCTCCAAAAGCTTCTTCAAATTGCCAATGGGCTCATTGATGTCAATATCTTGTTGAATTAGATCTGACGCAGTAATGGTCTGCTCCTCAACACTACATGTACAAGAGGGGGGGGGGGGGGGGGGGGGGGATTAGTGTTTTATTTGCTTCATGTGTAAGAGTATGCCATTCAAATTATCCTCTTCCTGCTTACCCTTCCTCCAGGCATGCCTGCTTCTCCTGCTCATCTATCTCGATCTCTATCATTTCTTCAGGTTCACCTTTAGACATTATGTTCTACGCAGAGAAAAAACCTGTAGGAAATTTAAATAAAGGTTGCGTTACTAATGCTTAGATACACTACATACTATAGCACACCATAATTAAACACACATTCACAACAGGTCAATGATGATGTCTTCAACATATGCAATACAAAGAAATAAAGAAAAGTGTCACATTTCAAATGGCACTAAATGTTATTTGGGAGGGTTAGACTGTGACTACCAACTCAAGATCCTGGCAGACCTCATGCTGAATGAACATACTATATTTTGAGAGTCCAAAATTGTAATCTATACAGCAGGGTTCGCAAGAACAGTTTGAATGTTGGAAATGAATGCAGACTACTTTCATATATTTCGGTGCTGCCCTCTAAACAATTCATATTTGCAAGAGATTCAATTAACCCTTTTTCTTAACACTACATATTGATTGATAAATCAAAACTACTGGGAAAATGGACAACATACTTAGGGGATATGACCTACTGTTTTATATTGTTCCATGCTCACGGCTTGTAGCACTTCGGGATTTGAACTCAAATATGAAGTACATTATAAATGAAACCCATTATTATTATTATTACTGTAGTTGATCAATGTTTTGGTACATACAATCTGTTGTACTATTCTTTTTTTCTCTTTAACTTGAAACTACCAATGAAAAACATTGCAATAAGAAATGGTAACCATGCATAATAGTTGTTTTACCTAATGCTATAAATATTGAATTATATATAGAACCTTTATTTAGCCAGGAAAATCAATTAAGAACACATTCTTATTTTCAATGATGACCTGAATACATACAGTACCTACGTATTCAGGTCATCAATAAGAATGTGTTCTTAATTGATTTTCCTGGCTAAATAAAGGTTCTATATATAATTCAATATTTATAGCATTAGGTAAAACAACTATTATGCATGGTTACCATTTCTTATTACTTACATACATACATACATACATACATACATACATACATACATACATACATACATACATACATACATACATACATACATACATACATACATACATACATACATACATACATACATACATACATACATACATACATACATACATACATTCTGTAATTGGAAGGTTTGTGAGCACAAACAACTAAAAGTGCATACAAAAAGTTAAAAATAATTGAGGTTTCGATACGTGAGAATATTCCGGCTGAAGTGTGTATTTACGTGGTGCTGGCTAAAGTTTTTTGGGGGGGGGGGGTTCTACTATAGAGGCCTCTCAGCCTCGACTCCTCATTGTCCGCCTACAACAGTTCACTGACTGCTAACGTTAGCTAACTCGAGGGCGAGGCATTGGTTTCTAAAGGCCAACTGGTAGGCCATTAGTTACATTAGGTGTTACCACGTATAACTACACATAATGAACAAATGTTGAAAAATCACATAAAAGTTAAATGTATACACCAGGCTACACGTGTCGACACGCTGAAGCTTGAATACAGTGAGCCGAGTTAGCTACTATTTTGCACGCGAATGCAGCACGGGGCGAGGCTGCCGTTACACAACCATTGCTCCCAACGTGAGAAACAGCCGTTAAAATACCACTGGAACACATCGCGCTTCATAACCGTAACAAATCGTTGTTAAATCCCACTTTAACTCTGCATGTAGAAAAGTTTTAAAAAACGGAAATAGAATAAACGGAAACAAAACAGCATAGGGCAAATGGAAAGGAGCCGGAAATCCTGGCTAAGGTTTACAGCGTTACAAGACTTCCGAGAGCAGCCGCCATAAATGCGACACGAGCTTCAGGAGAAAAGAGCAGCAGCGGTGTTGCTATGACACCTAAACATCGTGCAGTTACATACTGACTGCAACAATACGGAGAAGTACGAACTAAAAAAACAGTTGTAATCGTTTCTGGATGTATACGCACTGTGTTTGAGGCTGGACGACGATCAGAGGCGCGGCAGCAGTCTCTCCTCTTCACTGCAGATAGCAACCCGGCTAACACTAAACTGGTACAACAGAGATTGTCTTAAACTATACTCCGGCTGTTTTAATCTTCCATATGCAGAAATGGCACAAGTAGAAGCGTTGGCCTAGCTTCAAGTTGGCTAATGCTCTGTGAGTGTGTTTTTATGACTGCCTGAAGGTAGGCGGCCTCTTCCTACTAGGCTAGGAAATAAACAACAGCTAGCAGGCTAGTAAGCCACAAAATAGCGGGAAGAGTCTAAAGCACGGCAAACAGACCCCTTCACATGGCTGCGATTTAGTACATTTTCTCTTAAATAAGCAGCGCAATCTGCGAGATATCCATACCTGTGAAAATGCAGGCCTTGAGAGATGTTTGATTGTGTTCAACTGTAGTAGATAGGCAGCCAAATTTCACACAGTCGAGTCGTATCATGCAAGTTTTTGGTCAACACACTCTGGGGAGGGGCGGAGACTAACTGGCAAGACAGTTACCCTACACTTTTATGGAAAATACAAAATGTGACTAGTGTTTACTTGTGTGACGTTTCCATAGTTTGGGGTTCTCTCTACAAATGTGTGTCCAGCATAATGTTTTAATAACAACGTTTTTTTTCCCATCAGCTTTGAATTTCATGTTAGTGGTCCATTTAAATTGACAACACACTTTCCAGTTCTTCAACAATATTATTCCCATCAGGCTTTATTGTCATATGCACAATAGCTACAGTGTGGTTATGGTAATAGATAAGGGAAAATAAATGTCACAAACCCAATACAAATAGTGCAAGATGATGTTGCGAGACCAATGTGCAAGAAATGCAGGAGAAGTTAATTATATACATGTCAAGTAAAAAACAACAAGCTAAATGTTGCATAGGTCTCTATGCATGTAAATAGCATAAGATACACAAGAACAGAATGTAAAATGAGATACTGTACAGTGGAATAAATACTGATTGTTGTAGTAATAAATACATTTGTGAGAGACTGAAATGCAGTGAATCCTCAATTGGCTAAAGTCATATTTATGTTGAACTTCTTTGTGTTTCCTGCAGACTGTTAACGTTAAAGAAAGCATTAGGTATGATTACAAGCAAAATATGAGTAGGCTTTGGGCGGTGATAGCCCACTATGCGATACTGGGGCAAAGATGAGCTCTCTATTTAGCCTCACTCTGCACACATTTGGTCACGGTCACACAAACAAATGTTTTCCTGTTTGAAAAAGTGTGCACCATGTAAGCACAACATTTTAAATGTATTTTGACACAGGCCCCCTTGACAAAATCTCAATACAGGAGCCACATTAATTGTGAGGCCCCTAACAATTCAGTACCTGGTCCCTTGGGGGCTAGGGGATTTGGAGTCCAACTTTATTTTTGAAATATACAAATGTTCCTTAATATACAGTATCATGACTCTTGTATCTGTTGAATGTTATGTTTGTTTCATGTTAGTTAATCTTATTAATCTAGTTACATATTATATAAAGCTAGTGTCTCTAGGTGTGCTGATGATGGTTTTCTTTTTGTGGATGATTTGTAGTCAGGACTTTACTTTTTATAAATTGTTCCTAAATAAAGTGTAACAGATAGTTTAACTAATAAATGTATCTTGATAAAAAAAAATTGGTCATGTTTCCATTTTTAAAATCTATGGCCTTGTTTTTGTATGTCTTATGTTCATGTCTTCCATAATGATGCTTCCCTCCCTGGAGATCACAAGGATGTATGTTATAACATCTTTATGAAATAATATCATTACATTTAAATATCCATAATATTGAAAGTTGTTGCTTTAATGAGCAGGTGGTATTGCACACTCACTTTTACTGTAAGTCCCTCAAGTTCTCAGCAACACCAATATATAAGGGTGCCACTCCCTTAAAAAGACCCCTACATTCAAAGGGATCTCGTAGCCTACCTTACCTTCTAATGCATATTAGAAGGTAAGGTAACAAATAATTTGTTGTCATGTATTATATATATATATGTATTATATATACATGACAACAAATTATTTAAGAGGTAAAATATTTAATGATTCTAAAAATTCAACAAAAGAGGACTTTAAAGTGTGGAAAAAGCTTTTGTTTCGAAAAGCACTGTCGACACGGAAGTGAGTGAAATGACACATGTCCGGTGTGCGCGCTGGCCTTCAAAATAAAGTCCATCAGGTTTAAGTTTTGATTTCTAAACTACCTTATCAGTCGAGAAGTCTGCACAAAAAAGACAATCTGCATTATTATTTTTAAAATAATTGTATTTCATTATAATAGTAAGGATAGTGGTAAATCGATATTCTTCATGATGCAGTTTATAGTTAATGCATGTTATGCTTTTCTCAGCGAAACATAGACCGATGAAGCCTAATTACTAGCTAGCTACCATAAATAAATCCAACGAATTGATAAACAGGATAAGATAACATTACAATGACCACGTGTAATGAATACACCTTTGCATATTTCAATAATTTGAACAACTTTTGTGGGGGGAAAACACATTTTCTGCACAGTTATACGTGTGGAGACATTTACTCTGAAGGAGGAGGACGGAAGCCTTGACGCTGCTGCTGCTGCTGGTTGAGCGCAGGCTAGCCAAGATGGCGGAATACTTGGCGTCCATTTTTGGGACAGAGAAAGATAAGTAAGTATTTATCTGTTATTTGGTCACTGTTAAGCAATGTGTTCAATAATCACTTCTTGCACCTGCTTTGACGACTAATAATGTATACAGCAGCGTTTGTAGACTCTAGCTGGACACGTTTCACCGGCTCTAACAACTAGCAGCTAGGCTAAATGCTAGCACGCTGGCTAGCGTTTGTAAAATACCGCGCCGCGACTGTTAGCCAACATCTGGCTTCTGCTGAGCCTTTCTGGGATGGTTAGAATAAAACGATTACAACGAGTTTGTTTTTGTGAATACAAATCTCTTAACCAATACACTAACTACTCCCTTCTATTGGAGTTGGCTAATGATACTTAGGTACTTAAGGAAACTCATAAGAAGCCTTTGTTACAGTAGGTCATACCCGGATAGTCATTATCCAACATTAAACAAGCTAATCACAATTGTATCGAAATAACAAATTGCACCAAACGCCATAGCATTTAATTGCACAGTGTTCCTTTTTGTTTTTGTTTGCAGATATTACGCCAAATCACAAGTTACGTTAATGAATGGGTGCAAGTGTATCTCCCCCGCTTCACTATTCATTTCAGGATCTGTTTCTTCTAACAGATAGCTCTCCTTTAATCATATACGAAAGTTTAGAACAACTTAATTTAACCATGTCGGTCCAAAACAATATATTTTTTAATGAGTCCTGAACAAGATAGGACCTGTGGAACATTTCAAACTACATACACGCGTAAATTCAAACGTAGCCTACATCAGCAACCCACAAAATGAAAATATCGTATTTAATCATATTTTGGGTATTTTTATTTGGGTACCTCTGTGACCAAAATATGCATGTTTTCCTAGTTAAACTCAGCTAAAGAACTAGTCGGTTTTTATTACAAAGTAGTTTCACATATACACAGAAAGAAGAATACACACTGATAGACCTGAAACTAGCAGATTCATTGGTAAATATACAAGGGGCTGGTAGATTTGCTTTTCTTACCAGCTAAAAAACTCAAGGATAATCCCTTAACTGGCAGGTCAAATGTGATAATATGCTTGCTATTTAGCCTGTGGACAAGAAACCCAAGCCACATAACCTTTAGCAAACATGGAGGCAGGTTAATGAGAATGCTTTTATGTTTACCTCATCTGTATTTATTGTGTCTTTCTCCCTAGGGTCAACTGCTCGTTTTATTTTAAAATTGGTGCCTGCCGACATGGCGACCGCTGCTCCAGATTACACAATAAACCAACATTCAGCCAGGTAAGATTATTTATTAATTTTTATTTCAAAGTATTGTTATGATAAAAATGATACAGAGACCAGAGCAAACTTTTATTTCTCGTGTCTTGTGTATATAATAGGAGCTATAAGATTGTCTAAGTTTTAACTGTGACTCACACATCTTATTTGTCAGTTTTCTATGCTGTTGACACATTTTGTGATCGTTACTAGAAAATAAACACAACAGTTTAATACCCAGCCCCTATCTAAACAAATTGTTCCAATCATTTTTATTTTTTCTGTTTCAGACAATTGCCCTCCTGAACATTTACAGGAACCCTCAGAACAGTGCCCAGTCTGCTGATGGCCTCACCTGTAAGTGTTTCTCTGGATTTTCAAGCCAATTCTTGAAAAGCAAGAGCATGTTTTTATAAAGTGTTCACAACAATTGTTTCTTTCATCTTATCGATATTTTTATGATAAATAAAGTGAAAGAAAGGCCAACAGTCTTTGAGGGTTGTTCAGGTGGAAGTCCTATGATCCGATGTCAGCATTTTGAGTGGCTGAAACTACTTCATGCAGGCTTTTCATTGTTGCATGACAAATGTATTTGTTGAATCACTGGCATTGAAAAGAAAGGACATAATATATCTGTTTTGTTTGGTTTTCCTGTTTTTTTTGTATTTTCTTTTTATAACCACAAGGTGCCATCAGTGATATGGAGATGCAGGAGCACTATGATGAGTTTTTTGAGGTAAGTTCTGAATATTTTCCTCAAACCCCAACCACACCACTGTGTAGCTGATACATTCTCTTTGAGGAAATGATTCAACAAACCTTGTTTTTAAAATGGGTTACACCTTTTACAGTATGTTGTTA